CTGTTTTCCACTTTTATGTTTAATCTGTTTACATCATAGCAAATAGAATGTGAACCGGGTGTGTTTTCATCAGTCGAATGCTTGTAAAAGTAAAAGGAAAACACATTATCATGGGTCTTATAAAAACACGTCAGTCATCTGGTTGGTTAATCATCTAATTTGGCCACTTTAGACATTTTCTTTAAAAGCTGCATACAGTGAACAAAAAAGAAAAATAGTTAGTCAATATTGTTTTATATGGTAATTAATTGTCAGCTGACAGCATATCGTGATAAATTACTGCATGATACACTTTTCTTTGTACACGATGAATAAAGTCAGTACTTTGAGAACACAGAACAACTGCATGCATCATAAAAACACCAATGACCAATTATAAAAGCCTGTAAACAACAATCAAGTATAATAAATGCATAAATGGTATAATAACAGGTTGCTGATTGGATGATTGGGCCCATTTTATATGATCTTATTTTATTCATTTATTGTTACTAGTTGCTTCTTCTAAAACGGTTTATTCATGCATGAATTAAAAAAACATTGGGCCTCATTCACCAACTGTTCTTAAGAAGAAATTTCTTCTTAAAGCCCACTCAGTATTCACAAAGACTCTGACACTTAGAAATGTTTTCTTATTAGAGATTTGTTCTTAGAACAGAATCCACACACACTAGGAGTTCACACACTAGTTCTGCGGTTTAAGATCACGTCATGAATCTGACGTAGACTTTTTTAGGAAGATATTATTGAATGAGGCCCATTGTTTTTCATAGCCCTCTAACTGTGGCACTACTGTATGCTGACGTATTGTCTGCTGATGTGGTGAATATATGATATACTGTTGCCACGTCACCCACCTTTAAGCTCAACTATAACAAAAGCTGAAAGTCTGGAATGTGACAGTTATGTGTGTTCCTCCTCAGTGACGGCCCCCAGCTCTCCCCTCAGCCCCCCGCTCTCGCCGAGCCTCGTCTTTCCCGAGACACCACTGGGCAGCAAGAGCGGCGAGTGTACCGTGTGCTTTGATCAGGAGGTGGACACGGTCATTTATACGTGTGGACACATGTGCCTCTGTAACGACTGCGGACTGAAGCTGAAAAAGCAGATCAACGCCTGCTGTCCCATCTGCCGGAGACCCATCAAGGACGTGATCAAAACCTACAGGCCATAATGGGGTCCCTCGACAACGAACTCAGCACAAGACTGTCCAACTGTGGGTCCATCCTGGGCTGCTCTGTAGCTTTGTTTCCTGTAGCGTTACTTCACCACCCCTTCTGCCTACCACTTTCAAGCTTGTTTTAAACCATGAAGCCAAAGGCAGCCGAAGATAAGATTTTTTTTTTTTTTTCCACAAATGGGGTTTGTCTGATTTGTGCTCAGACATTTTAGTGCCTTTGAAGTTTGCCTCTAAACAAGCTGACAATCATATTTGATATGTTTTGTATAGATTGGATTTATGGACTATATGAATTTCATAGTCAGAGGGACACTGAGCTGCATCCTTTAGCAATGTATACTTGATAAAAGCAGAGCGGGACAATGAGAGTGATTCTGGGTCGATCTTTTAAAGGTAAACGTATGTTTCTGATTGTTGTGTTTATATGTATGATGACCTCTGATGCATTTGGACATTTATTGCACTTAATCAAGATTAGGCTAAACCTGCGGCACAAGAAACACAACACCCCCGACAGAAACCCAGTGTCACAAGGCACTGAAAAGGCCTGCATTGCAGATATATATATATATAAAAAAGAGATTTTTTTGTAAAAATTTATTTCTTTTTTATGGCTGTGTGATTATGTAGAATTGTGTTTATGTAAAGAGAAAGTAAATGCATTCTTTTCCTGTAGCTGAAGAAATCCTGGGGGAACGTCCTCCTGTAATTTACTAAAAGACTTTCAAACATTAGAATTTCTGGATTGGATTCTTTAACCTCTTTATGACCAGGGTATATTTTGGTTTGTCCATCTGAATTCACATGACCAAATCGTAAGGCAAATTATTCAGTAACTGCATGAAATAAATGTACATTTTTATTTATTTTTTGTAAAAGCTCTCCTTAAATTAACAGAATGTGTTTTATGATCACACATATTGCTATATGCTTACAGTTTACTGCTGAAAGCCAAAAATCTTAGACAGTCTTTGTATTATTTTATAAAAATAATTTTTTCAGAGCAGATCACTGAAGAGACGCCATCTGTTTATAGTTTATAGCCCAGATTTATGGAAAAATGGGTCGACTTTCAGTAGAAAAAAAAAATTGTGAGTTCAGCTTCTTTTATTATAAGAGTTTAAAATTACATCACCCATCTATTTGACTGGAAAGAAGACAGTTACAGCTCGCATACGACCCCCACCTTTTGAATGTAGCTTATGAAATATGAAAGTGTGAAGAATATGACAAAGTGCATTTTGGAGCCACCGGGGGTCCCAAGGGGTTTAAAAGGTTCATATAAAGTCAATAGAATGACCATAGGTCAAACTTTGTAATATGAATTTAGGATCACTGTAGTACTGCAAAATATGCAATTCCCTCTAATTTTCTCTGAAAAAGACAGCTTGACACAAAAGTCTGGCATCCCATTCTGGCAGCCCATTTAAAGCTTGATAATATTGACCCTTATTTAGACTTAAACCACCTTTAAATTGGAATTCCACTGATTTTTCAAAATTTCTGGATAAATAAATGGTTAAGATGTAAACAAAGTCATTCATAGTGATTTAGTATGAAATGCTTGGTTCTAGAGAAACCTATACAATTGTTCACAGCGGTGGTGATGGGAACCAGATGTCTGAAGAGTTGAATGCCTCTAAAAGCTCCCTCACAGAAAAGTATTACATCAAATGGTTGTAAACACGCTGCCTGATGCCCGAGACACTGTTCTATGGTCGTTTTAAGGTTTTGGCCAAAAACTTTTTTCTTTTTTTTTTTTTATATACATGCTGTGTGGAGACGCTTTAAAACAAAATAGTCCCCAAATAGTCAGATTTACCACTATTTTACCATGAACAACATTACACATAAAACTAGAATTAGAATGGCTCTATTTGCATTGTAGACATTGTGACCCCTGGTTCCCATCACCACCACTGTAAAGAAATCAGGCTTGATGTTTTACTACAATGCAGCATCTCACACCAAACCACTCTGCAAGATCTTGTTTACATCTCAGCCGAAATATGCAAATATTTTAATACTTCTACTCAAATGACACAAATGACAAGTACAACAGAATAAAATGTTGCCTTTCAGGTTTCCTTAAATTGTTCTTTAAAACTATTTTTCTAAAGGTAAATCTATTAACAAAAGGAGAGAAAAAGGAGAGATTCAAGATAGCTTAAAGTTAAGCTCCAACTCCAAACCAGGCTTCTCATGAGCTACCTGCAGACTTTAGTTCTGACTTTAATATAACACAACTTGCTGGAGCACTTCTGTATTCCTGAAAAAATGAACTGGATCACTTAACCCTCTATTGCACGATGTTGCCTCAGGGCAACAAACTCATTTTCCTCACCTTACAATAACATTATACATATTTAAACACAATAATAGGGTTAACTATAAAGGGAAGAGTTTAAGTAAGTCAATAAAACGCATATAGTTGGTCATACTATCTCTTAGTGGGCACATTTAAACCTCTTTTTTAACATTCAGTATCAATTTTTTTGTAATGAGAATCTGCAGAAATAGGTTTGTTGCCTAGAAGTAACACTGTGTGACAACGGATGGATTTAGCCAGTCACAAGCCAGATCTCACCACTTCAGAGAGCTCGGCTCTATGCCATTTCTTCCCATAGTCTCACAATGTTGCCTCAAGGCAACATATTCCAAAAAGACCCCTGCACACATTATTATTTTTTTTTTATGTTTTTGAATGTAATATTTGGGACCGATTGTTAATAATTAACAATAAGACTGTAAAATTAAATCAGTTTTTCAGAAATATCCGAGTACTCAGCCAGTAGTGTTATAATAGGGTTGGAGCTAAAGTCTGCAGGTAGCTCTTTAGAAGCCTAGATGGGGATGGGTGATTTAGAAGAAAAGCTATTGTTTTGCATTTGGATACCAGTGAATACCACCAACTCCACAATGGTGCCTAGTTCAACCTTGGAGAACCTACCTGCATGGCACCGTTTAGTGTTCGCTCAAACCAGATTAGGTTCAAGAAGGACTTGCTCACTGAGTATCAATGACTTAACAGTAAACAAAACTATGCAAATAAAGGTGGAACTCCACACAGCTGCTGGGAAATATTGGCACAGTAAATTTAAAACCCTTTGTAAACATCACACATCACTTCCATCATATTACAGCTGCCCTTTACTTCATATGAACATTTTGTGATGAATGGAACATCAGAAATAGTCCAAAATTACTAAAATCCTACATTTAAGTACATTAAATTTAAAAATGGAGTAAACTTCTGGAGATATGAGGTGTGACAATATACATGCTGTACTCATGTGACACTCATGACATCAGAATTTAAAATGATAAAGACAGGAACCGCCCAACACTCTTCATGGAAAACTTGAGTTTACTTAGTTATTAATTTAACCCACCCTAATCTGGCTTTTCAAGTTTTAGAGGCGCAAACTGGAGGCAGATGTGGTAGAGTAAGCCATGTGTGGTAGATAAGGGCCAGAACTAGTTAGGCATCCAAATAAGATATGTAACCAAAGCTGCTACTGTTTCAATTTTTTTCTCAGGTTGACATGCAAACGTAAAAGTAAATTTAAAAAAAAAGTAAATATCATTTATATTTATAATGTGACCTTGTCTGAACAGCCATTTTCAGATGGCCCCTCATAACTGACCTCTATGTCCACCTGAAACCTCTTAAAAATGCCCTGAGACACTCGTAGCAAGTAGATTGAAGATAATTCCGCTTATGTGATACTGCAAGTAATGTTGTTAATGTAACAAAAGAGCCTGTTTTGATGAGTGCAAAAATTCAGTGGTTCACTGAAGATCACCAAAAACATTCAAACACTTTTACAACTTAAGACTCTTTAATTAAGATAAAAAGCTAGAATGATACAAAGACAAAAAACAAACTTAAAACAGTGAGATCACAAAGCATTCATGATATTAAAAAAGATCGTATGTGGTTTGCAGGATACCACTGAAACTCAGACAGGCACTGAACATGTGGCACAGCAGGTGTCGTGGACGTTTGATCTAACAGGCCCTCTTTCTGACTATGTAAGTGTTGGTCTTTTTCTCCCTGTAAACAAAAGAAAGAGGAAGAGTGTTGGCTTCAGTTTCCTTACAGGGTTGGAAAATGCTTGCATATATTATATTATACTTCATTAATATACTTAAGTATTATTTTTGGAATATTTGTACTTTAACAGTATTGAACCTGAATACTTGTACTTCTACCCAATTACATTTCCAAGAGAGAAAAAAAATGCATTTTACTCCTTAAATTTTCATTTAGACCTTCAGTTCCCATTAAAAAAACATCCAAACAGTTAATATCAAGTCAAACTAGCAACTATGTCAATTAGCATCGCTGATTTGTTCTCCGTACTGTATCCACCCCATTTACTTAACTGTAATCATAAAAACACCCTAATAAAAAAAGCCCCAAAATAGCTTATTTTCTAAAAATATCAACCATGTCCAAATAATTACTTAGTATCTGAAAATGACTTATCACAACATTATTAGTTACTTTCTGGAAACTTTCTAACTTATTATCTTGATATATTCCGAGAGAATTGGTTGTTATTTTAAGATATGTCAATATAAATAAATAAATAAATAAATTCATAAATAAGTCATTATTTAGATATACCAAGTCAATATTCTGGTATAATGCTGTCAGATACATACAGAGACCCTGAGATGATAGGTGATTAATTTTTAATAAAGCACGGCCTTGAATTACTATATTGATTCCATGAGTTCAATTTCTCATAACTTGTGGCCTCACTATAAGAATTTATGGCAACAATATAGTTACTTGAGGCTTCAAAATAGTCATTTGAGGCTTCAATATAGCAATTTGTGACCTCAATATAGTAATTTGAGGCCTCAATACAGTAAATTAAACAGTAAAATTGTCACTATAGTAATGCAAGTCCCTAATATAGTTGAGGCCTCAATTTAGTAACTTGTGGCCATAATACAGTAAATTAAACAATAAAATTGTCACTATAGTAATGGAAGGCCCTAATATAATTATTTGAGGCCCTAATATAGTAATTTGTGACCTCAATACAGTTATTTGAGGCCTCAATATAATAACATGCTGCCACAATACAGTAATTTAACCAGTAGAAGTGTCACTATAGTAATGGAAGGTCCTAATATAGTAATTTGAGGCCTCAATATTGTAACTTGTGGCCATAATACAGTGAATTAAACAGTAAAATTGTCACTATAGTAATGCAAAGCCCTAATATAGTAAATTGTGGCCTCGAATTTAGTAATACGTGGGCAACATAGTAAACAGTGGCCACACTAATCACCGTTTCACCTTAGGGTCTCTGTAGGAAGAGAAGGAGAAGAAAACGGGCGATTTTGTGGAGCTGATAAAAGACTTACATGTTATCAAGGCACAGCATACATTCGTTTGAGTGTGTTTTCCCGTCTGATCCGCACACAGGTATGTACTCGCGGGTGCAAATGGGAAGGGCGTATTGGTCACAATCAGGCTGTGAAAACAAGCGGGTTTTATGTAACAATCAGGCTTCACAGCAGAGCAAACAGACATGAAGCCACACCGTGAGACGGAGATGTTATGTTTCCACCCACCGTTCCGTCGTTGACCCTGTTAGTGATGGCGGCTGCTCTGGTCAAAGCTGTGAGGAGAAAGAAAACAGCGTCAGATCCTCAGTGTGAGCTCACACAGTCGGGGTTAGATACGCAGAGACTACTGTTGAGACTGTTAACACACTGACTCATCAACTTTGAAACCTGCTGGAGAAGAACATGAAGACTTTTGATGAAAAACGAGGCCTAAAGTAGTTTCCCCCAAACCTCCTTCCACCACACAACCGTTGCGACACTCACCAGCCACGGAGAGAAGGACGAGGATGACCCTTACGAGCATTGTGAACGGAACCAGGAGACTCGTAGTCTTACTAACGACTGTCTACAGGTTGAAACAAGCCAGACGAAAGCGGCCCACCTACTTATCTCCTTCCCTCTCCCCCTGTACCAGCCCACAGGCGGCGCTTCAGCTTTGGCACCGTAGCAAAACATTAGTGTTGCATGCTGATCTTAGTCCAGCTCTGCCATTGATAGAGCGGCCTACACTTAATAAACTTTATTTGTAATTAATAAACTGGGCATATAAACATAGTAGATGGCCGTAATCATCATCATAATAGGCAAGTTCATTTATGGGTCATTCTACAGAAACGTCCACTTTTCTATCTCTCCATGGGAGTCACTGGTGTAACTGATCATCATTGGTGTTACACATAAGAAAGGTAACACCAGAGACATTTTTGATGAAGAATGCATTTCACAAAACAGAGCATCAAACCACATGTGGTCAATCGTGGAATATCCACTAAAATATGGAATTTAATCTATTTGTATTCTATTTTCTCACAGTTACCTCAGAATAAAGTCGGTCACACCAGTGACTTCAGCTAAAAGCTTCATATGAAATCATGAGCTAAATGAAAAAATCTCTGATAACTGAAAGACACAGTGGACTCACCATGTGCTTTTCTTCATAGATCCTCAGAAAACAGGTAAAAGGAAGTCAAGTGATGTCATCGGTGTGATTTTTATTTCAAAATAAGAGATTTTTTGTTACGCAGTAACACCAGTGACACGACTCCTGGGGACCACAACTTTCATTATGTATTTTATTACTTTTATTTGGCATTTCTTTTCTTTATCATTTAAATCCTATATTTCATGGTAATGTATAGATTATTGCAGTTAAAACTGCAGAAAAAACATTTTTTACCTCAAAATATGGCCTCACCTTTTACACATGACCATGAGGACGAGCTCTTCTGTGGTGCTTGGAATTCTAGATAATTGATTTAAAAAACAATATTGCTAAATTGAAGCTCAAGAAGGTGTAATTGTTAAAATAACTTATTGTTTTATTTTAAAATATAAATAAATTGTAACGCTAACGTGTTTTTTAAGTGTAATATATCTGTAAACGCTAGGGACACAAAAATAGACGTTTCTGCAAAACAATTCAATGTGCTTTACATAAAGTGACTGGGACATCAAAAAGAAAAGAAAAAGACAAAGTGCAAGTGAGTGAAAAACATAAAGTGACAATAGCTTACAAAATTAATATAAAAAAACAGATAATTCAGAGAAAGTACAAAGTACATAAAAGCAAAATAAAAACAAGGAACTTGAAGACAAATGGGCTCAAGTGTTATTTACATTAGTTTATTAAGTGTAAAGCACAGTAGGAGTAAAGTGCAAGTCTTTGAGTTGAATCATGGGCAGATAAGATGAGAAATATTTTTAACCTGGATTTAAATATCGATACATTTGAAGCACATCTAAGATCTTCTGATAGTTTCCTCCAGCTGTATGCAGCATAATAGCTAAGTGCTACTTCAGCATGTTTAGTTTGGACTCTGGGTTCTACCAGCTGTCCTGTATCCATGAGTCTAAGAGGCCTATACAGCTTATATTCTTTAAAGATTCAGAGATGTATTCTGGGCCCAACCACTCAGTAATGTATAGACTAGTAGCAGCACTTTACAGTCTATTCTGTAAGTAACTGGAATAATGTGCTCTGTTCTCTTGGTCCTGGCATGGATAAAGAATGGATGAGGTTCTCTATGTCGTGTTGAGGCACCAAACGTCTGATTCTGGCTATATTTTTAAGGTGATAGAAGGCTGTTTTGGTCACTGCTTTGATATGGCAAGTGAAAGTGAGATTTGAGTCTATTAGAATGCCAAGATTTCAGACCTGGTCATTGGAGACCTGGAATTAAGGTGTTTGCTAATATGAAGTCTTTGTTGCCAAACACCATAATCTGTTTTGTCATTATGTAATTCAGTTACTTATGTGCTCCATACATTGACACCGAAAGTCTTTTGGACAGTATTCATCTGCCAAGTATGTCTGTGTATGGTTTACATAACTATAGTAATAAATGTTGTTGTTCTGTAGAATTTGGCCTAAAAGAGGTCCGAGAACTAAACCCTGGGGGACACCACATGTCATAGCAACTCTAATCAGTTTCATAGCTGTCAAGGGTGACAAAGCAACTCACTCTGGCCTTCTAACTAAGACATGCACCAAGTAAGCTCTGTTCTGGAAAGTCCTACCTAATTTCCCATCCTGTGTAACAGTTTTCTATCATCTACTGTGCCGAATGCAGCACTAAGATCTAGTAACACCAGGACTGATGTTTTGCCATATGAGTCAATATTCAGCTGTATATCATTTAATGCTGTTATAAAAGCCATTTCAGTACAGTGGTGAAGTCAGGAGCCTGATTGAAATTTGTTAAAATAACCATTAAAAAAAAATAATAATAATTGAGTTGATAGAAAACCTTCTCAATTGTTTTACCTATAAAAGGTTGTTTAATACAGAAGCATCCAAAGTTTGATAGATAGACAGCTAGACAGATAGATAGATAGATAGATAGATAGATAGATAGATAGATAGATAGATAGATAGATAGACAGGCAGACAGACAGGCAGGCAGGCAGACAGACAGACAGACAGACAGACAGACAGACAGACAGATAGATAGATAGATAGATAGATAGATAGATAGATAGATAGATAGATAGATAGACAGACAGACAGACAGATAGATAGATAAACAGGTAGACAGACAGACAGACAGATAGATAGACAGACAGACAGATAGATAGATAGATAGATAGATAGATAGACAGACAGACAGACAGACAGATAGACAAACAGAAAGACAGACAGACAGACAGATAGATAGATAGATAGATAGATAGATAGACAGACAGACAAATAGACAGATAGATAGATAGATAGACAGACAGACAGATAGATAGATAGAAAGATAGATAGATAGACAGATAGATAGATAGATAGATAGATAGATAGATAGACAGACAGACAGATAGATAGATAGATAAATAGACAGACAGACAGATAGATAGACAGACAGACAGATAGATAGATAGATAGACAGACAGACAGACAGACAGACAGACAGATAGATAGATAGATAGATAGATAGTATCCAGACTCTCTTTTATGAATTCAGCCACTTTAAAGTGCACCTGTTGCTGGTGTTTCTACTGCACACACACAGTTTGTGTAATCTCCACAGAAAAGCACTGAGTGATAGAATGACATGGGCCTAAGGTCACCATAACTAATGCCAAGTGTTGGCTGGAAGGATATACAGCCCCCAGCATTGGGAGGATTGCTGTGGAGCAGTGGAATTGCATTTTCTGTAGTCTCTGTAGCTCCATCATCAATACGTTTGGGATGGGTTGGTGTTGCACTTGTGATCCAGAGCTAATCACCAAACATCAGTACCTGATCTCATTAATGTTCTTGTGACTGAATGCAGTCAAATCTTCACAGCAATGTTTCAATATCTAGTGTAAAGCCTTCCCAGAAGAGCAGAGACTGCTAATGCAACAAAGGGGGAACATATTTCCTATTTATACCATTGATTTCAGAGGAAAAATTGGATGAGCCAGTGTCTACAAACTTTTGGACATTTTGTATTTGTTTATAGCTTATTGTGCAAGCCACTGAAATCATAATGATGGGAAACAGGTGATTTGAATTGATATTATAATACGGAAGATGAAAGAATATACACACATTGTCAGAAGCGTTTTTTGGAATAAAGAAACAACAGGGATCCCTGCAGAAACAGCTCAGTTCAGCTCAGCTCAGCTCAGGTTTGTAAGTACATTGAAATGATACAAAGATGTATTTCTGTCCAGGCCACACTTTAGGGGCAGCATTTGAGACAGGGGTGTGTAACACTTCACCCAGCTCTACAGAGTTTAGTTGCAATCTTGGTGTAACCAAGATCAAGATATTAGGGCCAGGTGTGGAACTGTAACAGGCCTGGACACGCTAATCCAAGACAATGTTTACGCGTGAAACATATTCACACAACTGATATAAATGTTATTTATATTCATGAGCCTGTGTAAAACTTCTTCAAGAGGCTGTACAACAAACCCAATTCCAAAAATGTTGGGACTGTAGGTGAAACGCAAATGAAAACAGAAAGCAGTGATTTGTAAATTCACTTTAAACAGTATTTCAGGAAAAATACAATACAATACAAAGACAAGATATTTAATGTTTTATCTTATCAACATACTTATCAAACATACGCTCATTCTGAAATCTATGCCTGCAGCATGTTCCAAAAAGTTGGGACAGGGCAAGTTTAAAGCCAGTTTAAGTCGTGCAATGTTTAAAATACATCTTAAGCAGATGTTGCGATCATGTTTGGGTGTAACGGGATACATTCAGAAAAGGCCTCACTTGTAAACAAGAATGGTTCGAGACTTGACACATTGCCAAAAATGTGTCAGTGAGGAATGCAGCGGTTTAAGAACAATGTTTCTCAATGAGCAACTGGAAACATGTATTGTGATCTGATGAGTCAACCTTGCTGATTGTTTCCTGGAATAAAGGATTGTGTTCTCCAGAACAATCCAGGCTGTTACCGGTGTAAAGTTCAAAAGCCAGGCATCATATTTGGAATGTTTACAAAAAAACAGATATTTACAAAAAAGAAAGTAAAGTTCACAGAAGGTAAAACAGCAAATATCATTTGTACTCTTTGCAACTTAATACAGGAATAAACAGTGGTGGACAGTAACAAAGTAAATGTAATTGGTTTCTGTACTTTAGTATTTTTTCGTGTATCTGTACTGAAGTTTTTCCATTTTGGATGACTTTTTACTTTCACTCCACTACATTTCAAAGTCAAATATCTCACTTTTTACTCCACTACATTATGAGAAATCTGTCGTTCCTTTTGGTTTATGTGTGTATAAAAACTTTACATGTGAAAACGAAAGAAGCGCGAAGCAAGAATACCAATCAAGGAACAGCGGTCACTTTGTTTTGAGCTTGTTTTGACCTGTTGGTCATACCGACCCAGTGCAGCACACGGTTCAACATCAGTGCAGCAGTGTAAAATGTTGGGAGAGTCTATTCAATATAAATGATGAACTAACCTAACTCTGTGTAAATAAACCACAATATAGAAATATGTACTCATATGCAGTTGTGACTGACGTGTCTTTATTCTGAATTTATACAAACACTATTTCATTTTATAGTAAATTAGTTTTGGCTAGTTTATGTTTATGAACAGAGACCTACAGATGCAGGTTAGGAAAGGAAACTCATTTGTGAATCTGAGTTTAAAGTTTTTATTAAACTTAAACTTGTAACTAATCTGCAAATAAATCTTAAACTGAAACTTTGCTTGTTTATAAAAAGTTATTTCAGAGCCACTCAGTTCTACCTGTTGGAAACTGTTTGCCTTCAGTGTTTTGTGCTTATGATAATTTTAATAGACATCAGCGTCACTAATTAATGACTCTATTAAAAGACTGGTTTACCAAGAGAGACACTGGAGTATTTTCACCCAAAATGAGTTAATGAAGCAGAGTCTTGTTATAGAAATGATAATAGGACATTAAAGCCATAATTAATCTTTTAGTACTTTTACTTTTGATACTTAAGTACATTTGAAGGCAAATACGTTTGTACTTTTACTCAAGTGGAGGTCTAAAGGGAGAAACTTCTACATTTACTGGAGTAATATTTTACCTTGGTGTATCTCTACTTTAACTCAAGTACAGGGTTTGTGTACTTCGTCCACCACTGGGAATAAACAAAAAGGGTTCCACATAGCACCAAAAAGGCTTCTTCCAGGGGTCACTAGAAGAGCCATTTTGTCTTTTTAACAAAAATCAATCTGCCTCGGGCGCCACAACATTTTATGTTGATTTTATTGAAGTAATACTGTATTTTATCATTGTGGCTGAGAATTTGTCTTAATATGTGCTGATGTTCTAGTATAGACTAAAAAATATAAATGCAAACACAGACTGCTCTGTTCTAAGCTCAGCTACGGCCGCTTTACATCTCAGGCAGGACACTTTTCCTCAAAAGTAGTACAATTTCTTGCAAAATGTCTCTCAACGTTAGATTATTTACGAGGATGAAGTTGCTTCTCATACACCAGCTTCTTGTTCTAACTTGTTCTAACTTGTTCTTCTTCAAGAGGCTGGCGAACAGCTGACTTCAGGTTCGTGACTTTTTAGTGTTTGTCAGTTTCTAATTGCAGATTAAACGTATCATGAAACCAACTGGAGTGATTATAAACACAAATACGCCGATCAGGCATAACATTATGACCACCTCCTTGTTTCTACGCTCATTGTCCATTTTATCAGCTCCACTTACTATATAGGTGCACTTTGTAGTTCTACAGTTACAGACTGTAGTCCATCTGTTTCTCTGATACTTTGTTAGCCCCCTTTTACCCTGTTCTTCAGTGGTCAGGAACCCCATGGACCCTCACAGAGCAGGTACTATTTGGGTGGTGGGTCATTCTCACGTCAACACTGACGTGGTGGTGGTGTGTTAGTGTGTGTTGTGCTGGTACGAGTGGATCAGACACAGCAGTGATGCTGGAGTTTTTAAACACCTCAGTGTCACTGCTGGACTGAGAATAGTCCACCAACCAAAAATATCCAGCCAACAGCATCCTGTGGGCAGCGTCCTGTGACCACTGATGAAGGACTAGAGGATGACCAACACAAACTGTGCAGCAGCAGATGAGCTATCGCCTCTGACTTTACATCTACAAGGTGGACTGACAGGTAGGAGTGTCTAATAGAGTGGACAGTGAGTGGACACAGTGTTTAAAAACTCCAGCAGCACTGCTGTGTCTGATCCACTCGTACCAGCACAACACACACTAACACACCACCACCACGTCAGTGTTACTGCAGTGCTGAGAATGATCCACCACCCAAACAGTGCCTGCTCTGTGAGGGTCCATGGGGGTCCTGACCCCTGAAGAAGTACATTTCTCTCGATGTTCATCTTAAATCTTTCTCTTTGTCGTTTCGTTAGCTACTAGCTAGGCGAGACTGTTGTCTGTGTTGCTATGGTGACCAGCAGTCTGCGCTGATCTTCAGGGTTAAAGGGTGAATTAGCAGTTCTACATTAACTGCAGTGTTTAAGCCCATTTATTGTTAAACTGTGTTGAACGATCAGCAGAGCTTTATTTTACTGTAAAGGAGGATTATTTTATTTTTACCTACAAATCTAATTGTGCTGTGGAGCCACAACAGGGCAGTAAAAGAGCCACATTTGGCTCCAGAGCAGCATGTTGCCGACCCCTGACCTAGTGTGTCAAGCTTGGCATCGTAACAATAGAAGAATCCTTTTTGCTGCTTTATGGATCCCTTTTCAAAAAGGTTCTGTATAGAACCATCTACAGCACATTTTCCATCAAACTAAAAAAAAGGAACCCTTTAATCACACAAAGGGTTCTTTGAGTGTTCCTGTTTCTATATAAACCCATTTTCTTTACTAAAGAACCCTTGAAAAAACATCGTTTTGAGAGTGTATAGTGTACACAAGAAATCCAATTGTTATAGGACTAAGCATCTCAGTAAGTCTGACTGAAGCCTTGTTTGCATGTGTCCATATTAACACCTGAAAACGCCTTTTTCCCTTACATTGTTAAAACCTCCCCACCCACACCAGCCGTGTTTATGAAAATCTCTTTTTGAAATGGTTGTTGATATAGACACTCGTCACACCTTACGGCAGGGGTGCGGACCTGAGGGCAGGAGTCCAAGACAGTTGATTTCTCTGATTTAACACACCTACCAAACCTGACAATTAAGTGATGGATTGAATAGGGTGTGTTTGAACTTGAACACAAAGTTCCCCACCCTATCCTTAAAGGAGAATCCCACCAATTTTAAAAAATGTATCAATAACTTAGCTGTAAACAGAGTCATTCAGAGTGATTTGCTGTGAAAAGGTTTATTGTAGAGAAACTGACAGACTCTGATTTCTTACAGTGGTGGTGATGGGAACCAGGGGTCACAACGTCTACAACACGGAACTGTAACAGGCCTGGACACTAAAGATTCAGGATCAATGCTTACATGCAAATATATCTGAACTTCTTATATAAATGTCATTCATATTCATGAGCTTGTGTAAAACGTGTTCGAGAGGCTGTGCAACAAACCCAATTCCATAAAAAGTTGGGACAGTAAGTTAAATGCAAATAAAAACAGAAAGCAGTGATATGTCCATTCACATTGAGCTGTATTTAAACGGAAACAGAATGAAGACGAGATATTTAATGTTTTATCTTATCAACTTCATTGTTTTATGTAAATATATGCTCATTCTGAAATCGATACCTGCAGCACAAAAAGTTGGGACAAGGCAAATTTAAGACTAGGATCTTTGTGTAATGTTTAAACCACATCTTAAAGTCATGCTTGGGTATAAAGTGAAACATCCAGGAGAGGCCTAGTGAGCAAGGGTGGGTTGAGGGGTGCGGAACTGAGGACTGGAGTCCAACACAGTTGACTGATTTCTTTGATTTAATACCTACTAATAATATCTACTAAACCTGGCGATTGCCTGGTGAATTGAATAGGCTGTGTTTGAACAGAAAAATCTCACTGGAACTCAGAGTTCCCCACCACAGCCTTGAACTTGGGGATTTCATCATCTACGGTACATAATGTTGTTAAACATTCAGAGAATTCTTAGTAATCAAGTAAGCAAGGGACAAGGCCGAAAACCAATACTGGCTGGCGGTGATCCTCCTCTGGTGACACTGCTTTGAAAACTGCAGTGGAAATCAATACATGGGCTCAAGGACACTTGTAAAAACCATTTTCTGTGGACACAGTTCATCGCTACAATGCCAAGAAGAAACCATATATAAACAGGATCCAGAAATAATGCCGCCTTTTCTGGGCCTGAGCTCGTTCAAGATAAACTGAGGTGAAATGAAAAAGTGTCCTGTGGTTCAACAAATCAAAATCTGAAATTTGGTTTGGAAATCACGGACACTGTGTCCTCCAGGCTGAAGAGGAGAGGGACCGTTCAGCTTATTATCACTGCATAGTTCAACGCCAGCATCTGTGATGGTGTTGCGGTGCATTAGTGTACTTGGCATGGGTGCCTTGCACATTTGTGTCCCAACTTTAACAAGTACAACAAAGTTAACAAGTACAACAACAACAATAAATGTCCTTTTTAACAATAGGGGGGTCGTGTGCAGGCTACTTTGCATGCCATGCCCCTCGAGATCCCCTTGAAAGGCATGCCAAAATATGAATCCAGTAATTATTAATTAAGCTTCTATACTTTACAGCTGTCTGCAAAAGTTTGGGCAAATTAAAATTTTGTTTATTTTCTAATGTAAAAAGAAGTACAGAGACACAGCGTTGCACAATTTAATTCACAATGACTGTTTATTTGCTTAATTTAGCATATGGGGTAAAACAAAACAAAATGTGGCTTGTACAAAAGTCATATTTTATATTTTTAAGTTTTTCCAGTATGTTAAACAAATAAACGGAAACTGCATCAAAATTTGCAGAACAATGGCATATTTACATTTGTTTCCTGTAGAGGATGTTAACCTATTTTTGCACAGGACTGTAAGAGCCAAAACAAACTCAGTGAGGCTGCTCTGAGATCAGCATTGTCTGTTTTATTAAATAAATATGAATATAAATAAAATTATAAATATAAATTAATGTATCAGAAGTGCCAAACCTGCATTTTAATACTACTACTACAACTACTACTAGTACTACTAACAATAATAATAGTAATAATAATAATAATAATAATAATAATAATAAAAAAGAAGAAGAAGAAGAAAAAGATAATTTTATATGAAAATAGAATTTTATAGAAAGTTTTATATCTTCTTCTTCTACTACTACTACTACTACTACTACTTATTATTATTATTATTATTATTATTATTATTATTATTATTATTATTATTAAATTGCTGGTTTAGCGCTTTTGCGTGATATATTTATGTATATTTATAATTGTATTTATATATAAGAACAACAACAACATCTAACTTTTTAATAATTTAGGACTTTTAATAGTAGTATCTAACTTTTACTTTGAAAGGCGTCATCTTTCGCGTCTTCAGTTGGCCGGTAGGTAGCTGTGTTCCTGTCTTCACACATTGATGAAGCCAGAATCCAGCAGTGGGGCTGTTGCTGTTCTCTCTCCTCACAGGGGGCTAATACGACCCCTTTTGTTTTGAAATGGCTCTGTTATCGGTCCACTGAAGGTAGGTGACCAGAGTGTCCAGACGAATTCGCTCTGAGTTACCGTCAGTGGTGTCGAGGGTCCTGATATGTTTGTTGTTGTTTCCCGTCAGCGCCTCTTGTAGTGTAAGTTAAGCTCTAAGCTAACGGGTCTGTTGTCGGGTCTGTAATACACTAATCCCGCCTGTGGCGGTTTCAGCCTGGGTTAAAGTTAAACACGGGTCTGGTAGGTTATTCTAACCGGGGCCAGACGTGGTTGAAGCCTCTATGAAGCCTCTTCTTGATGAGAAGAGGCCGGAGTTTGGTACAGCTAGCCAGCCAGCTAACGCTAGCAGACAGTTAAAGGGACATTCTGGTCTAAAACTAGCATTTAATATGTTATCTGTCATGTTATGTGGCCGTTACTCGGGCTCAGCCTCATTAGTTTGAACAAATTCACCATTTTATATTCTTTGTCTCATTGTTTTATGTGTCTAGCTATGTGTCTAGCTATCTGTCTATTTATTTATTTTATTAACATACAGGGGGTCCCAAAAATTCACATCATGTGAGATGTGAATATCTGAGTAACTGCATGTCCTGGCAAACGAAATTAAATAGGCTTCATGTTGAACAATACAAGATTTATTTATCAAAATTCGAACAAGAAATTCAGAGGGATGTAGATTTTATAACCGATTTCACAGCTTCACACATGTAATATCTCCCGATACTGGTGGTCGTCCAGATCCCTTTGTCCTGCACAGACAGCCTTCCTCTTTGAGTTTTTGTGCCATGTCCAAATCTGCTTTCCAGCTGGTGCATTTTTATTGAATTTTCTCGAAAATGCTCGCTGCACACTCTTGTTTGACTGTGTTTGAGTATATTCTAACACACTAAATGATCATTTCTAGTGAACGCCATTCTTCAACCTGAAACAAAAACATTAAAAACTAAACTTGGTTAGTTTTTACACATTTTGTTCAAATTTGAGATCATTTGAGGGAGAATTGGCTGTTATTAGACTAGAAAATGATTTTTTTGGGACACCCTGTATGTCGCATTACAATAAATACATCTATGTCAAAGTAAACTACCGACATAAGTAGTCAACAACAAGAAGCAAAGAAGACAACAATACAGGGTGTCCCAAAAAATTGACATCAAATGATCTCAAATTTTAACATAATGTGTCAATTTAAGGGCGGCACGGTGGTGCAGTGGGTAGTGCCTCACAGCAAGAATGGCCTGGGTTCGATTCCTGCCCGGGCGACCGAGGTCATTTCTGTGTGGAGTTTGCATGTTCTCCCCATGTCTGTGTCCTCCCACAGTCCAAAAACATGCAGTCAGGCCAAATGGACATGCTAAAATTGCCCTGCGATGGATTGGCGACCTGTCCAGGGTGTATCCTGCCTCCTGCCCAATGACAGCTGGGATAGGCTCCAGCACCCCACCACAACCCAGAAGGATAAGTGGTTTAGATGATGTATGTATGTGTCAATTTAATTTTTAACGTTTGTTTTTCAGGTTGAAGAATGGCGTTCACTAGAAATGAAAAGGCATTTTGTGTGTTAGAATATACTCAAACACAGTCAAACGAGTGTGCAGCGGCATTTTTGAGAAAACTCAATAAAAATGCACCAGCTGGAAAGCAGATTTGGACATGGCACAAAAAACTCAAAGAGGAAGGCTGTCTGTGCAGGACAAAGGGGTCTGGACGACCACCAGTATCGGGAGATATTACATGTGTGAAGCTGTGAAATCGGTTATAAAATCTACATCCCTCTGAATTTCTTGTTTGAATTTTGATAAATAAATCTTGTATTGTTCAACATGAAGCCTATTTAATTTCGTTTGCCAGGACATGCAGTTACTCAGATATTCACATCTCACATGATGTCAATTTTTTGGGACACCCTGCACATAAATTAACTGTCTAACAGTGTTCTCTAACTACAATACCCAGAGTGCATTATGCACATACTTTATGCAAACATTGGAGATATGCAGCTAAAGAAATCCTGACAGTATATTTTCTCTCCACAGCTCATTTAAAATAATCTTTTTTTTATCCCCCAGGTTCCCATGTAGAATAGTTCACAGTTGGTGTGGCTTCCCAACTTGGTAACGGGATGGACCAAGAAAAGCGGGATAAGCTGTCTGAGTTGGTGGAGGAGTTGACTACCTCTGGAGAACCACAGCTCAATGAAGCAAAAATGAAAGAAGTTAAAAAGATTTGCAAGTAAGATGGATATTATGGACTGAATAGTAGTTGATTGGATAAAATCTCACTGAAAGGATCCATTTTTTGCAGCCCAAGCTACTTATTTTACCTACTGTCACCTGCTGTATGTCTCCAAACGTTCACTCACAGTTTTCCTTAATTATCTTTCCACCCTGCAGAATCTCCAACGACTACATCGACCATTTCTATCACCTCATCATGACCCAGCTAAACCAGGATCACGCTGAGATTCGCCTCTCTGCCTTCCAGATGGCGACTGAGCTTTTCAGCCGTTCTCATCACTTCAGAGTCCTCCTCGTAACTAACCTCCAGGAGTTTTTGGAACTAACGGTAGAAACAGACATTGAGCAGCCACTGCCGCCGCCTAAAGAAGTGGCCAAGAAGCTCAAGACCCAGGCCATCCAGACTGTGCAGGCATGGCAGGCCACATATGGAGATGCCTACAAGAAGCTGGCATTGGGCTATCACTTCCTCAAGCAGGTCAAAAAGGTAGGTCTATACAGATACTTATCTAAATGAATGGCTGTTCATTTTTCTTGCAGATTGATGCTAAATCTGAAATTAAAATTTATTTTCACAACAAGAACACAGTATTATTAGGGAGTGTGGTACAGCCATAGATATAGACACCTAGATGCTGCGTTGGGTCCAGTCAGGCACGTCAAAGGCGCCGCCAGATTGGGGTGGTCAACATTGCTGCTGGACTGCATTCAGTATCATTACAGAGCGGCAGTTTAAGAAAGATACTGTCCAAAATGATACTATTTCAGGAATATTGCTCTCAGAAAGTGGAATAGGATTATATAACGGAGGGAACGCAGTGATCTACACTGATGTTTGTGTGATGCGTATTGTTTGTGTGATGTTATGTGTAGATATGGCCGTGTGGTTAATGAGGCACAGAGAACCTGTTGATGTGATTGTTTTTCCTCTGGTTTTATATTAAGCTTATTTAATTTAATAGTCTATTCAGGGGGTCTTAACTTTATGTAGTAGTTATTTATTTACAGTGATGGTTAAAGCTTTGTAGCTCAGTAAGTTATAGCATTCCTTAATCCGTGTAGATATTCATAGTAGATTAACGTTAGAAACTTCTTACATGAACTTGAAGTTACCTACTTATGTGCCAGCTTGTTGTTTGAATTTTCCCGTTCCACCTTAAATGGTGCAGCTTCCGGCACCAGAAAGTGACTGCTGTACCATTTAAGGTGGAACAGGAAAACTTAAAACAAGAAGCTGGCGAATAGGAAGCCAACTTCAGCTTCGTCCTTCTTACTGTGTTTTGGGGGTTTATTTTATTAAGATTAGAAGTGATCCACACATTGATGGATTTGCTGATGTGAGTCTGATTGTGTTTCTCGCACTAAACTCGTTTTTTAACGTCAGGTGCAGACTGCTAATTAGCATGATCAGTTATTAAAGAGGTAAAGTCTTCCGAGAGCAGATCCGTGCAGTCCAGATTAATCTGTCTGAGGATTATAACAAAACAAACTTGGTGAAAATCGGTTGAGTAATAAGAAAGTTGTGGCTGATTTAATCCTGAGACTCATCGTCTCTCAATATAAGTGAATTTGTTCACAAGCGGATCTTGACCTTTTCAATCATGGTGGACGTGCAGACGTATCGCCCCAGATAGAGAACATCAGACAACGCAGCATCTAAGAATGTATATCTCTGGGTACAGAGCTATGCATACCTTGATCAACTACCTTTGTCCATTTCCCATCGCACAAGAATTGTGAGAGTAGGCGGGATTTTGTGGAGGTTATGTGGTGGTCAGATGATTTCTCATGCTAGTGTTGACTGTAAACACACAACAATAGCAGCAACAAAGACACTTCTGGTGCTTTACCCAGCATTTGGTTTTATTTGAGAGTCCCAGACAGCAAATCTGGCAGCTACTGTTTTTTAAATATGGCGTCTAACTTGACTGATGATGTGACTATACTTACGTGTTCTGCACCCTTATGTCCTGGTTCATTACTCCTGGTATGCCGACTAGAAGGGTAACCAAATTCAGCGCAAGTTCAGCTGTATTACGGTTCACTTGGTGGTGGAAATGACATGATCACGGATTAGTAACTACACTGTGCTGTACCAGTTATCAATACTGAGTATTGATGCAGACCACCTATATCAACCTATAACAGCCTAACCTTGCTAAACCTGAATGAGTGAACTGCAAGCCAGGTCTGTGATGTACTTTGCATCTGCCTTGATCTAGTGTTCCTGCTCACCTGCAGCTCCCCTTGAACAGAAAAATAACTAAGAGACAGGAGGAAATATGGCGTGCGTGTGCTGCTGTGAGTCACCCTGTAAAACCTGAAATAATCATTTAAAAGTCAGAGGCGTCGGGTCGGATTTTGTGGGAGTTTTTCAGACCACGTCGTACGTCTTTATGGATTTTCGTGTGAGGTTAAGGCTCAAAAGGAAGGTCTGGCTAGATGCTTAGGTCTCAGATATTAAGTTGATGATGATAGTAGACACTTCCATCTTTGGAAAACTTGACAATTTTGACTGAGTCCTTTTTCGTTACTCTTTTAATGCGCTTGCAAGTGTCAGATTTATCCACTCTGAAGGTGTCCGAAGCACAACCGATGTTACAAAAAAAAATGTTCTTCCACAGGTTATGTGTGTAACTACACATTTCTAGAGAGTTCCTATTATCCAAGAGTTTTCTAAATTCACAAATCTTACACACCGCAGCTTTAATTTTGGCTGGGAAAACAATTGATATGAACAATATAATATGAACAAATGTATTATAAAAATTAGCTCCATAACTTTCCTCTAAACTTGGTTTTAAATTCATGTTTTCCTTGTTTTCCCAGGTGGATTTTCAGGATGTTGAAGCCAGAACGCTGGCTGAGCGAAAGAGACAGGAGGAGAAACAGCAGAGACTTGAGAGAATTTATAAGGAGAAGCTTGAAAAGGCAAAGCAGGAGATGGAAGGTATGTCTGTACACATTTTTACAATCTTTCTATTATATCTAAGCTCTTAAGCAGTTTCTTATGAAAGTAATCATCAGATGAGGAAATGACTTTATTCAGAATGCTTTCACAAACATCTACGAAGTTCATCTTTAACATTGAGTATGTTTACATGCCCTCAATAATCCGATCGTAATCGGATTTCTGCAGTTATCCGATTATTCAAATGGTCACAAACACCATACTCCAATCTGTAAATCCGATTAAGAAATCCGATAAAGAGAGCTGGATTTTATCTCTGTAATCAGATTTCTCAGTGCATGTAAACTCTTACTCGGATTTCTTTCGGATTTCTCAGTCTGTGCATGTGGAAAAACATTCGACGGTACCGGAAATAAGTGAGCAGCGTTGCTGTGAGACGCAGCAAAACACTTGGAACGGCACTGAAACTAAATACGAAATAAAGGATTTAAATATTCTTCATCTTCTAGGTGATGCGTGTAAATATTTTCAGGTAAAGTGGCGCGACTTTTAAAAAAGCGGCATAAAGTTTGAGTTTACATTCCGTTTACGTCATGTCTTATTCTGTAAGTTTATTGGCTGGTTGCAAAGCAGAAATCTGATTACTGTCTGACTCATGTAGACCTCAAGTGCATGTAAACGCATTGATCCGATTACTTACAAAATCTGATTTTTTGCAGTTATTAATAATATTAAGTGTTATAAACGCACTCATTGTGTCTGAATGCCTTTTTTTTCTCAGAAATGTACTCTGAGATCGAGGAATCCCTGACTGAGATCAACAACTGCATGACGTTGCTCATGCCAGACAACTTCAATCTGTTTAGCACCGAGCCGAACGCACCCAGCAGCAGGGCAACCTCAGCATGTGCTGAGCCTGACCGAGACATGGGTGTCTTGGATGAACAGCCATGCTGCAGCAAAGACCTGAGCAACTGGGGTGATGAAAGGATGGCAGAGGACACCAAAAATGATGAGGAGGAAGAGGAGCCTGGCGAAGAGGCTGATATGGAGGAGGGTCCGGATGGGGACATGTTTATCCGCAGCACTGGGCTGATGTCTCATACCTATCGGCTTGACTTGAATGTGTCTTTAGGTTGGTTGGCTTTTGATCTCTAATGTTATTTGTGGACCTAAAACAGTTATTTCTATAATCAGTAGTTTTTGATTAATCAGTGGAGCCATTGTGCCTTCTTTGGTTTCCTCTCACTTTGCCCCATCACAAAGATGTTGTTTACTTTTATGTTGATACGAACATTAATAGCTTTATTGCCCCTATACTTCTTGTAGTGTATCAGACGCAGCAGTGCTGCTGGAGTTTTTAAACACTGTGTCCACTCACTGTCCACTCTATTAGACACTCCTACCTTGTCAGTCCACCTTGTAGATGTAAAGTCAGAGACCATAGCTCATCTGCTGCTGCACAGTTTGTGTTGGTCATCCTCTAGTCCTTCATCAGTGGTCACAGGACGCTGCCCACAGGACACTGTTGGCTGAATATTTTTGGTTGGTGGACTATTCTCAGTCCAGCAGTGACACTGAGGTGTTTAAAAACTCCAGCAGCACTGCTGTGTCTGATCCACTCAGACCAGCGCAACACACACTAACACACCACCACCACGTCAGTGTTACTGCAGTGCTGAGAATGATCCACCACCCAAATAGTACCTGCTCTGTGAGGGTCCATGGGGGTCCTGACCACTGAAGAACAGGCTAAAAGGGGGCTAACAAAGTATGCAGAGAAACAGATGGACTACAGTCTGTAACTGTAGAACTACAAAGTGCACCTATATAGTAAGTGGAGCTGATAAAATGGACAATGAGTGTAGAAATAAGGAGGTGGTCATAATGTTATGCCTGATCAGTGTATGGTTAAAAGCAGTCGGTCAGTATTCCAATGATGCCCAACCCTGTTTTTTTTGTTTTGTTTTGTTTTGTTTTGTTTTGTTTGTTTTTTTGATTATTTTGTTGGTTACTTTTGCAAAGTTCAATAATGACAACATAGTACAATGTGAACTAACATGAACATCTCTCCATTTCATTTAAAACAATATTGTAAAACAATAGTAATAAACATAGATACAAATACAAATAGGAAATAGCAAAAATACCTAAATGAACAGAAAATAAAATTGGCAGAACACATATGTATATACATGCATACATATACACATATACATAAAATACTAAACCATATTAATAATAATGTTAATATTGAACATTATTATAGTATTATTGATACACCATTTCCATATCAGGCACATTGTTTTTAATAGTCACCCCAGGGTGCCTGGGCCAGTCCAGCCTCAACCCCAAACTTGTTTTTAACTTGATTCCAATGATGTGCATCAAAGACTGTCATACTTATAATAATTCATAATATTTGATCATTCGTCATTTCAAAGTACAGAACAAAGATGTCTTTTAAAATCTGAAATGACCAAATATAAACAGTGACCTAATCTGTGTTTGTCCCTAGATTTGAATGTGAAGGAGACTGAAGAGAATGAGGCAGTAGTGAACAATATAAGAGACCTGCAGAGACTCATCAGCAGCAAACACCTTCCTATTGTCCAGTCTTGGATTCAGGTATGCAGTGGCCACAGTTTGAGAGCTCAGAATCAGTTTATATCTTAAAACATTTGCATGTGGGTGAGAAACATTTGCATACAAATGATAAGTTGTGCACAAGATGGTGGTTACTGAGCCAGAGGGTTTGAAAGTATCTTGTGTGTCGTCACTTAATGTCCTTAGTATTATATTATTTTGTTAGTGGTCTGAATCATTGTAAGTATCTTCAGGTTATTGAAAAGTGCAATACTAAAAAAAGGGCAGTTGTGGGCTGGAGGTTAGGACCCCAGATTTTGAGTTTGAGATCTCAGCAGCGCTGAATTATGACGAACATTGAGTTGGGTTGATGTAAAAACCGCATGAATTCCAATGTGGCTTTTCAGACTGAGTAGCATTGCTGCATATCGGATACGTAACGGATTTCAGTAACACATAAAATGAAAGCATCTCAAATCGGAATTGAAAATGTCAGATTTAATGTGTGGTTTGCTGTTCACACTGACACGCAGAGAACACATCAGAGTCACATATGAAGAAAAAGATGGGATTTGGGCCACTTTTACCTGCTGTGTGAGCAAAGCCTTTGACTGAACTTTGGAGATGTGGAAAAATATTCCTGCAGATTTCTTTGAAGAACTGATAGCAAGTCTCCCAAAACCAGTGGAAGCTGTAATAAAGGCAAAGAATGGACATACTAAATACTGAAAAACGCTGACATATTAAAAACATAAGAACCATGTTGACTGGAAATTGAATAAATATCTAATAATAATACTGTTTCCAGCCCACAGTACTGGAGCTGCATATTAATTGTTTTGCACCTTGGCACTTTTAAACCAAGCTAGTAACTTTTCATGCACTTCTTTTTTTTGTTTTAAGAAACTCTGATTCTGTATGCTTTGGTCTCCAGGTTTTCACGAAGGTTGGTGTGGAGGAGCAGCTGATGAGGCGAGCCACTGACCTCAAGAAATCTCTTGAGAAAGCTTTGAGGAAACACGACGAGCTTCATATAGACTACAAAACAAGACGGAGAAGAGTGGTGAGCCTCCCTCAGTTTCTTTGTGAAAACAGTCCACTTTACAAAAGAAGCCTTTTTGACTGTAAAGTAAAAGTAAGTAACCACAGTTCACCAGGAGAGGGCACCATTTCACAGCGTATGAGACCGATGTGTCCAAGTTCAGTGGGATTTTTCAAGAGAACATGATTTTGATCACTCCATAAGCGATTCCACTTCCACTGTGTTTTCTAGAAAAGGACTGAAGAAGTCTAAACTTTGTAGTTTCTAAAGGAATATCAGTTTTAGGGAATCAGGGAATTCTTAACCTGCCATTCAGAGCCATAACTTCAAATTGATGACAGAATTTCCAACTAAATCGCTGCAGCAATGAGCAAATGGGTAGTCGAACATTTTGCAAATGCGCTGACAATAGTAGCGAGGAGCAATGCATCAGGCTTGAGATTAGCTCGGCGAGCGAGTCAGGAGGCACAGCTCGGCTGTTAATGGAGATCGGCGCGGCGCAGGGCGGAATGGGACACACCTAGCAGTTAGGAGACACATCATTATGACACATGATATCCGCTTTTAACTGGGCGAAAAGAGCGAGCTGGGGAGAGGGAACGGAGGCAAGTGACAGTGACAAAGCGCTTTACTGCACCCTATAAAGGTTTATCACTGTCAGCGGCCATTTCCAATGCAAAAAGCCAGTGCTTTGTGATAAAGCAACAACTTAAAGCCCTTTATCATAATTAGTTTTTCCTTTTTACCCTTAAAAGCATTCCATTACTTTATTCGCTTTATCATAGCCCTGACACGGATGGAATTGCTTTTTTATTTTTTTTTTATTTATTTATTTTTTTTGGCGATGCAATAAACTCCTGCTGATTGGTGAACTGGTAATATTGCAAAAAGAAATGTGAAAACATGAAATAACTGTTTCCTTTAAGTTGTGGATTTTACACTTAATTACATGTAACTGTTTTCATTTTAGCATAAAATTAAAATTCAAATGGCATAAGACATGAAAGAACAGTGCTTCACCCGAAGTACAAATAAATAAATAAAAATAATACAAGGCATCAGTTACTTTTGTTGTTCTAATGATCACGTTAAGGAAATGTTTACCTCATACATAAAGCTTTGGTGCTCTTACCTTGCCCATCAGATAACCGTAGCTGTTGACATTGCGAACAAGCGTAATGCACTGCTGTGTTGTGATGGCGCAGCCTCCATTTAATTATTGGTCACGGGGGTTTTGTGTTAAGCACCCTGAATTTGTAGAGCAGACACCTTTTCGACTTCCCAAAAGGGGAGCACATTTACCATGCGGCCAGGGGGAATATTGCATTGTTTACACCGATAAGGCATCTTATCAGGACGGTGAGGAAGAGCAATAATTGATGTGTCTCAGAGTGTTTTTTTTTTTCCCCCCATTGGCAAACTCAAGATAAACCACGTCTATCTAGGTTCCTTTCTTCATTCCAGACCTATCAGGGATTCTTTACTATGTTTCTGCTATTCTTGTACCAGGGTAATACCTTATTAAGCTGGATCTAAGCAAAGGGTTTGGCTGTAAAGTAAATTTAATACGTTTTGGATCCAAACTGATTTATAAATATGAAGCAAAGGCTCGAGCTGTAAATCTGTGCTTGTCCTCACCTCATTAAGTTAAGAATGGAGTCTAACAGATATTGTCTATTGTTTGGCCCACGACCTGCAGTTTTATTGATATTGGCAAAAATATAGGTAATTACTGACTCGTTTGACGTGACGATAGATCCCAATGATGGATCAAAGCCAGACAGGTTACTGACAATATGAAATATTTATCATTATCATGCTAAATTGTCACGTTATGTCAGAACATGCTTTCCTGAGAATAATGTGGAGATGGTTTAATTGGATTTATGTGGATTTAGCAGTGCTGTGTGAAACGTTAAATGGAATTTCCCCAGATTTTTTGGAAAATTCTGTATAATTCTGCTGGTAAGATGTAAACAAAGCCATTTAGAATGGTTTCGTGTGAAATTCTCTGTTTAGAAAAACTTAGTCAGTTGTTCACAGTGGTAGTAATAGTAACCAGACATCTGAAGAGTTTAATGACTCTAAAAGCTTCATAACAGAAAGGTATTATGTGAAACAGTTATGAATACGCTGCCTGATGTCTGAACATAGTTTTACGATAGTTTTGAGAAGGGTTTGGCCAAAAACACACACAACTTATTTACCACTGTTTTATTATTATTATTAACACTACATATAAACACTCTGAAGACACATGTAGTTTCACTGGTTGTTTTGGGTTAAAAAAATTGGCTATTTTTATATTGTGGACACGGTGAGCCCTGGTTCCTAAACCAGCACTGTAAAGATGGTACATTACTGTACAATGAAACATTTCACATCAAATTACATCTGAATGATTTAAATTATATAAAAATTTTGAAAAGGGGAATTCCAGTTTTGAAAGTTCCTTTTAAATTGGAATTTTTTTTGTTCTCTGTTCCAAAAATAAAATATTATAATACTTATTGCGTACTGTGAAAATGTCTTGGAGCATCATAAAATTTTTAATTTTTTTTTTTATTATTTTGCCAACTCCTACATGACAATCATATCAGTCAAATAATCTCAACGATTAGTAGCGGTATCGGCCACAAAATGTTTATATCGATCGGGTTCTAGTTAAAAATCATAAGTATGTATAAACACAGTCAGATTGCAGTTCCACAAATTAAGATTTTTTTTTTTTTTTACTTTTTTCTCATTCTGTCCATTGTTTCTGCCTAATTTTGATTTCATTTGCTAATATAGTTTGTTACCTGTCTTTAATTGTCTGCTGGCTGTTAAGCAGTTACATTTCATTACAAGATTAAAATTCAGGTGCTTAAATGCATCATAGCATTTAAATTCTAGGAGTTTTATGGAAATAGGTCCCTTTCAAATTTACTCATCAAATCTGACCATAGCTGACCCGAATTTAACCTCAGGGGAGAACCGTTGGGGCTCTGGGGGCATTGAGGTCTCATTTACTCCAATCCTCCAGACAGCAGCAGTTTCTGAGAGGGCCTATTACACTGTGGTAAATTAAGAGACCTCCATCCATCATCTACTGTTTATCTACATCACCCACATTTTCAGCAACCATCAAACCAACGTCACCATTGCTTACCTATAATCGCTAATCAAACTTCAGGCCATGGTTAAAAGCAGGAGATGACTTTAAATGATGGTCCAGTTTCATTTAAACAAAACATAAACTCAAAACATTTAAGAAAGATCTGTCTACTGTGGTATATCGCTGTTGTCGTAACAAAACCTCCATTTTTTTCATTTTTCGGTTTTTGACATAATCTAAAAATGCCTGTTGTCCTTTGTGTTGTGTGTAAATATCATGATGAATGGACCAGAAGAAACGGCACAGAATGACTTGGGAAAAACGTCTGGTTCCATTGACTTACATTGAGAGTAAAGTATATTTTTTCCCTCTCCTATAAAGTTACCATTTTGGAGATACGGGGTTTTGTTCCGACAGCAGCGATATGTTTGCCTACCAGCTTTTGAATACTTTTTAATGTATTAGCATGAGTGAGTTGTATTTTCTTTCTTTTGTGTGCTTAAAAAGGTGCAAACAAACACCTGAAGGTTATTTCCATTAAAGGCAGGCAGTCCTTACCTTCCAGAACATGCATCTCAAAATAGGCTCCAACCTATCACTAGTGTAATGTATGCAAAGTTGTGCGCTTTTAAAGTGAAGTGCTGTCTCAAAGAGGCGCTTTGTGGCAAAGGAACGTTAAATTGCCTCCAGAGACAATGGCGGGCAACTTCACGAGGTTCTCTCTCTCACTCCGGGCAGCCCGAGTACCCCGCGAGCTCCGGAGCATTTCATTCCATTCGGCGGCCAGCGAGCCTGCCAGTCCATACACCTGAGTTATTGGTTTGCTGTAATAATTTGCAAGACCTTCCCAGTAAGAGAGGAGATTAGCATATAAATAGCAGATGCACGGAGGACCATCACAGCTGAGTACATTTAATTTTTAGTTTATAAGATTGAATGGGTTTTTAAACGCATAGCCATCAAACTTGGCCAAAGACAAATGAAGTCGAGAGTTCAGTTGTCCGAGGCTGCCTCCTCGGATCATTTTTTAAAAGGATAACAGACTTGCTTAAAGGAGTGCGCCCGCCGGCCGCTTCCCTGGGCACAAAGTAATTGAGATTGCTTACAGAGTTAATTAGACCATACAAAATATATTGGGAGGGCGCGGAGAGCACTTTAGCCCTGCTGGAATGTGTTTTTCCTCATAAGTGGGGGATATTTAACCGGAACCTCATTATCTGCCCCCTCTCCCAGCCAAGGAGACGGAGGTTGACACAGCCGCCGCGCAATCAATAGAGTTCACCGCGAATGTCTTTAAGCGGTCCGCTCGGGAGCACACGTGCTGTTTAATATTCACTTTTATTCTACATGGCCTGCTCTGTTAATGCTTAGGCCACTTTGCCTTGCTTGGAGATGATATCACACTGTTTCTGTTAAGCATTCGGTTAATTGAATTTCCTTAAATGCACTTTGTCATGTAAAAACTTTAAAAGCCAGAAGTGTAGTTAGACTGCTAATTTTTCAAATTAGACCAGTCTATGATTTGCAAAGAGTATTAAACAATAAGAAGCAGCCTATAAATGTAGTGTTATGTCACTGTTTAATATATAACATTTAAAAAGCCAACTTTTCTTTACAATATTTTAATTTAGATTGAAGATGAACATAAATGCTTCAGAATTGCTTGGAAAAAAAAAAACTCTTGTTCCATTAACCTTCATTGAAAGTTAAGAATGTTTGTCCTTTTCCTGCGAAGTTACAAGGTTTTATTCCCACCGCAATTTGTTAACAGCATGCGCACACTTTAGCTCAGTATGCTGGTCAGACCTTGCGCTCACTGTGGAGCCATTTTTCCTTCCGAAAAACTTTCCAGGAGCCCTTTTTACTAGAGAAATGAAAAGAAGTGTTGTTTATTCCTTACAAGTTATAGAGGCAGGCAAGCAAA